CAGATCAGGTTGCTGTTTGCTTGTCCCTGCAGCACTAACCTGTTGGATTGCCAGCACCCAATTTCATTTCAAAGTAACAAGTGCAGGTATTGCACTCGGTCCATTCGTTCAGGACATCTTTCCCACTTCTAGCAGCTCCACAAATCTGCTTCCCAGCCCTGCACATCTACTTTGAAACGCAAGTTGATGGAAGTTACAAAGTTGAAGAGGTGTACTGGTTCTCGTAACTTCACAATGAATTTAAACAGGACCAGAAGTGTGGGATTCAGGCAAGGTCATGGCCTTGCGTCATCCTGGGATTACTTAAAGACATAATCAAGACTTGCGTCAGAGAGATTCCCTTTATCTGTATATTTAGTGTCAAATCAGCTAATCCTGAATCAAAATAGGATTGTGGTAATGAAGTCTGAGTAGCTTCTCTACTAAATCTCATAAATGTAACACTTCTACTCTGTGTTCAGGAGCAGATGAGAGCCTGTGAACTGCAATAACATGCACCACAGTGCAACCTCGCTGCCTTAGATTTATACCTCGGCAGTGACAGAGCTCGTTGGACTGCATTATTTGCATTCAGTATGTGTTTGTGAGGTCACTCAGCACAGCCTGTTACTGAACACCACGCTCCTGAATAGACGTTCACCCTGCTTTATCCGCCGAGGCCTTTTGCTTGGTAGGTGAATGTGACGACCGCTTTACCGCAGAGACAGGCTTGTCCAAATCATTAAAAACCAAATGAGTAATTCAAATCATCCCACTTTGAATTAAGGTTCAGATCTGCCACCTGCTCCGAGTTGCTGTAACGTCAAGGGAGAGATGCTCTCTGTTCTCCATAACTCTTTTCAAAGTACTGTACTTGGGAAATAAAAGATTACAAATAAATTATGAAATGTTTTCTTCTGATACAGAAATGTCATTACTTAAAAGGACTGAGTAAATACAGTCCCAAGATGTCCTTGCTTCAACATACTGCTGAGCCCATTTTATCTGGTCAGTGATTTTATTATGGTGATCACAGAATCCAATCAGTTGTTTGCAAGTTCTGTGAAATCAGCATTTACAAAGCAGTACAATACAAATTTACATTCATATAAACACCTTTCCTGTAAGGATGACATCCCAAGGCATTGACAGTTCTGGCTGGCCATCCGAGCTGGGATGGGAGCCAAGTGGGTGGGGAGAGAAGAGAGATGACTGAAGGCACAAAGAGGAAGGTCTTGAGACTGACCTTGAAAGAGGTGAGGGAGGGGGTGAGTCATGGGGAATCCAGGATGGAGTTCCAGACAGTGGAGGCAGATAGGCTGAAAGCCTGACCACTAATGGCAAGGTGAAGAACAAGAAGTAGGCTGGTGACCACTGAGCGAAGGGTGTGGCTGGCTTCGTACAGTTTGAGGAGATCACAGTAGCAGGGCGGGGCAGAGGGGCAATTTGTCGGCTTGATCAGCCTTCCCAGCTCTGCACTCCACAAGCTGCAGATCATTCAGAACTCTGCAGCTTGTGTCCTCTCCTGCACCATGCTCCATGACCCTATCGCCCCCATCATCTCCGTGAATTTATGACAGTAAGAGGGAACTTAGACCATTTTTCATCTAATATATATATGCTTGGAATTGTTTTCAAATGCCCCCATCAATCTCTTCTAACAACCACCCAGCAAACTGTTTTGAGCCCATCACTATGGTTGTTTGGATCTTCAAGCCAAACTCCTGAGAGTTCCATATTTGTACAGTTTTCATTTGGCCCCTATAGAGTATGCTCTCTCTCTTTCTCTGTTTAGTTAATCCCAGTGTGTTTAAACCCAGCTCGGCAGAAGCCAAGGCTTGGGACCCTATAATGAGCATTGGGGTACGACTGTTGTGTAACCGATTGAAGCTTACTAGTGCAAACACTGGTAAGCTTCCTGCTACTTAACCAGTGAGGACCCCTCTGTTGGGTTTTGGATTGCAGGTCATACAACAACAACAACAACTTGGATTTATATAGCGCCCTCCACGCCGGACGGCGTCTCAGAGTGCTTCACAGAGGAAGGTGACCAAATAATAATAATCATAATCCTTGCATTTGATAAAGCGCTTTTCACGTTGGGAGGACGTCCCAAAACGCTTCACAGAACACACTGTAAAGTGAATTGACTGTATATTTGTGGGGGAAAGCGGCAGCCAATTGCGCACAGCAATGTCCCACAAACAGTCGTAGATTGAAAATGACCAATTTATTATTGTTTTTTGGTTTTGGAGGGATTATTATTAGGCTCTGTGTGGAGTAAGGAAACTTGCCCAAGGTTTCGCCCTCTGCCTGGAATTGAACTCAGGTCTCGCTTGCAAAGCGAGTGCTCTAACCACTGAGCTACAGGACTCCACAAAGGCGTGGCCGAAAAGAAAGGTCTTCAGCAGAGACCTGAAAATAGGAAGAGAGGGAGCTGAGGTGAAGGGAGTGAGGAAGGGAGTTCCAGAGCCTCAGGGCAGAGTGTCTGAAGGCACAGCCGCCGAGGGTGGAGCGGGGGACTCGGGGGATGAGGAGGAGGCCAGACCCGGAGGAACTAAGGCAACGGGTACTGTTTTGAGGAGAGAGGAGGTCAGAGAGGTAGGGGGTTGCAAAGGAGTGCAGGGACTTGAATACAAGGGTGAGGGTCTTGAAATCGTTCCTCTCTGGGATAGGCAGCCAGTGCAGTTTGGCAAGGACTGGGGTGATCGGGGAGCGGAGTTTCGTGCGGGTGAGAATTCGGGCGGCAGAGTTTTGAATGATTTGGATTTTATGGATGGTAGTTGATGGGAGAGCGGCGAGGAAGGTGTTGGAGTAGTCCAGCCGAGAGGTGACAAAGGCATGGACCAGGGTTTCAGCGGCTTTTGGGGAGAGGTATTGGCGGAGACGGGTGATGCGTCACAAGTGGAAGAAAGCGGTGCTGGTGAGGGACCGGATGTGGGGGAGGAAGGATGATTAGGGGTCGAACCTGACTTCTAGGTTGCGTACGGGTTTGGAGAGTTTTAGGGGGAGTTCGGGTAGGTGGAGGAAGTGAGAGCCGTGAGATTTTAGACGTTCACGAGAGCCAAAGAGTATGGCTTTCATCTTGAAGAAGATGGAATACAGAAGCTAAGGAGAAAGAATCCCAGCCCATTAACTGATTTGCTCCTCCAAATCCCCCCTAATGAGCAGAACAGAACTTAGTGGATGGAAATGGAAGATGTGGTTGACAGGGTCACATTTTGTTTTTAAAAGTTGCTCATCAAAAAGCCACTCAGGCAGAAGTAAAGGGTTTTACTGCGACTCCTTGAGAGTGAGTGAACTCCAAACGTAGAGAACCTTGCACGACTGCAGCCTTCTTCAGGTCTCGTTGACCACCCTGCCACGTGAGAACATCCCAGCCTATCAATGCCCTAGCAGGATTGCTGTGGTTTGTTTTTACTTACCCAGAGATTGATGGCTAAGAGACTCAGTAAACCAGTTGTTTCAGGTTTACAGATGAATTTCTTTACACTGCTATACATAGCTGACCGTGAGCTGTACTGTTCAGGGTGCTGACCAGATGCTTATCTTTCTGACCTATGGACTAATAATTATCTGTGTGTTGAGGGAAAAAAATAGATTGCAGTGAAGCTTGTCATGTCAGCAAGCTCAGGATTCAGTCATTTCTTCACGTAGATTTTTGAAAACACAGTGTTTGTATCTTTCTTCAGGTTTAGGTTCAGGTTTAGATGTCACGGATGGTGCATATTGATTTGCTCCTCACTGTGCCACCTTTAAAAAGATTAAAGGCTTGTCATTAAATACTATTCAGTGTTTGTACAGATCTAAGGTTGTGACTCTAAATCCTTCACTTCCTGGAAGAGCAACATTTTCGGTCTTGAGGGAGGGTGACATTTAGTTTGCAGTGGAGTGGTTAGAACATTCCTTGATCAGTCCTTTATTTTTAGTTTATTCGTCACCTTCATCTTTAATTTATATAAATCCTCCTTCAAGGACCATCAACTTTTATCTCTGTACGCAGACAAAAATCTGCATTGTCATAAAGGAGACAGAATATCACAGGAAACATTTTAAAACATACTGTTATAATTTGATGGTTTCCTCAACTAAAAAACAATTTTAAGTTTTTTTTAAATAAGTTTATTTTCCTTAGCAAAATTGCAAACTAAATGTATCTTTCACATTAGAGAGACAGACTGTTGCAGGGACCAGGAATTATGGACTGTAATGTAACTAAAAAATAAACAGACCAATTTCTAATAAAACTTGATGATGTAATGGACTGCCGGTATGGTTCGTATTCTGAATAGCTGAGACCATAGGATCATCTTCTGTGAAATCCTGTATCTTAGTGGTAGAGCGAGCACTCACCTCACAAGCAAGAGGACCTGGGTTCGATTCCTGGAAGGGCGAAACGTTGGGCAAGTTTCCTTGCACCACACGCCTCTGTTTACCTAGCAGTAAGTAGGAACCCGGGTGTTAGTCGATTAGAGGGTAATAATTCCTTAAAAAATAATAATAATAAAATTGGTCACTCAATCCACGACTGTTTGTGGGATACTGCTGTGCACAATTGGTTATCACGTGAATATACAGTCAATTCACTTTACAGTATATTCTGTGAAGGGCTTCGAGTCATCTTAAAGACTTGGTAAGGCACTACATCAAATGCAAGGATGATTATTATTATCTTAATCCAAACCTCTCTCATGATCTTGTGATCTATACTCACTTCTAGCCTAAAATCTGGTGCCCAATGATACGAACATAGAACTCTACAAAGCAGTCGAAGGCCATTTGACTTGTGATATTATTCTTGGTGTTTGCTGTTTTAATAAACCTGCCTGCTCTTCCCATGTACCCTCTATTACCCTTCCTCTATATGTGCCCTAATCAAGTCTGCTGCAATAAGCTCCCTTATCCCCTACTTAAACACATACCCTCTTGCTCGCTAAAGATATTATTTGACAGTGGTGTGACTTGAATGGTAGTGGCATTTTGGCTTGTGGAGTAATGTGATCTCCTTGTTTGAATTTCAGAGTGGTTGGTGGGTTTGAGACGCTGACTGCCATGGAGAATGTAGAGAGTGATCCGAAGACAGATCTGCCACATGTAAGCCTGTTCCTCATAAGTGTATCAAGTATCATTCTTACCATTGCACATCCACTATCAATAGACAACTAGAAGTAAACAAACCATCTCAGAAAGCTACTCTTCAGGTTCATATGCTTGACGTATGGGGTTTCTCAAAACGTTCTACTTCACCTCCGTGCCGGCAAATACCATTCGTATAAACGTTTAACCAAAATGGGAATTGATTCTGAACGCTGGGTGCGTTAAGATTTCCATTTTGAGCTGTCTCTTGCCTCTTCAGCGGTGAGAAAATGCCATAATAAAAATGTTCCAAGCAGGGGGTTCAAATGTTACCCTCACCGGAGCTATATCTCAGCTCCAAGAAAAGCTTTCTTTGTAGCACGTAACAGGAAGTTGAAATGAATTTTTAATTTTGTAACTCAGCTATAAATAGAAATCATTTCAATAGGCTCTAATTTATCATCGTGGATGTGATAAAATGTTTAAGGGGATTGAAAAATTGTATTCAGTGGAGCAGAACAGTTGAGAGAAATCTAAGAAGTGTTCAAAAAAACTAAATGTCTTTGGGAGGGTAAATCATCATGAAGATTATTCCCACGCATTGCTGAATTGAGCAGAATTAATTGATAATTAATAAGTGATGGGGTGCTATATCAAATAAGTATTATTATTTATTATAGAAGGGAACTTGATCTCTAGATCATTACTAGCAGGCTAAAGGAGGAGAGGAGAGAATTATTTTCTTTAAAAGAAGGAAAATTAGTACTGTAGGTGGAATATGTTGCCATGGTGCTTTAGAATGATATAATTCAAAAGGAAATTACATTAGACGATTTAAAAAATAAAAATATGAAACGGATTTCAGAAAAGAACAGGAAAATTAGATCAAAAAATTGGATTAGAAATCATTCCAGCGAGCATGAATTTTGGCCAATCAGCCAAGTTCAGGGCCAAAGCGTGAGGTGGAGGGAGGGAGGCGAAGGGGCCGTGGGATGAAGTTTCAAAGGGTGGGGGCAGAGAGGCTGAAGGCCCAACTGTCGCTAGTGAGGCAGGCCAGGCGGGAGACTTGGATTCGTGGCTGTAGGGAGTCAAGGAGGCAGCACACACGGACCTGAGCGCTCTGGAGGCGAAGGAGGCTTCACAATGGAGAGCGCTCAGCGACAGGTCAGGCTGTCTCGAACAGGTCCTCTCACCATCCTGAAGCTGGTACAGGCTGCACAGCGGAACTCTGAGGCCTGGGACCAAAACTGTTGGAAGATATCACCTGAAGTCACGGTTCATGAAAACAAGCTCATATATCCAGGGCTAGATATTCACTGATTTGTGTGCCGAGAGGTAAGCAGATGCTGCTCAAGCTGTGTAGCTCCAACTGGTGGAAACATCGCTCGATGGGTAGGGTTGTGATGGAGCAGTGGGTAGGGTTGTGATGGAGCTATGGGTGGGGTTGTGATGGAGCTATGGGTAGGGATGTGATGGAGCAGTGGGTAGGGTTGTGATGGAGCAGTGGGTAGGGTTGTGGTGGAGCAGTGGGTAGGGTTGTTTGTGAAAGCTGTGGGTAGGGTTGTGATGGAGCTGTGGGCAGGAGGATGGTGCAAAGCTGTCACATACCTCTTGCTGAGTTGTGCTGCTCACCAGGAAACGGGGGGGAATCCTGGTACCTGCTGTTCGCCAAGTCAAGGCTCAAACTGTGCTTATCAGACCAGCTGGTAACTGTTGACCTTGGGGACAGGGGTGTGCTGTGCAGCGTCTCCTTGGACTAAACTGGCTTCCTGGGTCTGCAGGACTCAAAGGCACTGCTGATTAGCCTGGCTCATCAACAACACTTGTAGGGTTGGACTGGTCACTGAGGGGGAAGGATTTTATAAGCCAAATGCGTATATATGGAACTCTGTCTGGTTTTGTTACTCTTTAGCATGGTAAAGGGTTTCCCTTGGTGTCACCAGGTTGATCAAAAAAAATCCTTCTACACTAAAAATTTCTATGATCATAGAATTATAGAGGATCATGAGAAATTCACAGCGCGGCTCATTAACTGCTAAAGGAAAGTTTTGCCGCAATCGCCACAATTCAGTTAATAAAGAGTAACTTGAAGTTTTTGAGACCCAGTGACGTACTCCCCGACTCCCAGCAGCTCAGCGTGTTACACAGGTGATTGCTTAGACAGCTCAACTTGTCTCTGTCACTCTCTCCCTCAATCCCTCTGCCTTGCCCCCTCCCTCCCCACCTTCAAATCCCACCAAAAGACCTTCCTTTTTGTTTGTACTGACGGTCACCTCCCCCCCTCCCTCTCCCCTTGGCTCGGCGGCAGACTCCGCCACTGTCAACTGCTCCGGGACGCTACCCTGCGTGAAGGGAGCTATGTAAATGTAAGTTGTTGTTGTTCTGTCAGCGCCGCAGTTAATTTCTGACCTCTTCTCTGCCCCCAGGAGGAGATCCGACTTGAGCGGACGTCAGTCTTTGTAGATCCCTTTGAAGAGGCAGACGTTCTGGTAAGCAGTATTGGATTCACATGATCAAAGTTACATTAATAGTACTGCCATTTTATATAGCGCCTTATCACAGCATCGAAACATCTCAAAGTGCTTCACCAGATTTACTGTAGAATGTGATGACTGTGTAATTTGTGGGAGAATGCGGTTGCCAATTTCTGCACAGCATCATCCCACAACAGTCTTGAAGTGAATAACCAATTTTCAGGCAGAACGAAATGTGTATTTTGTTTAAAAAAAACGCATCCAGCGCTGTAACAGAGCATTGCATTCATAACTTCCTGCTGTAATGAAGGAAATTGAACCCTCCAGGTGCGGGGTGTAGCTTACCTTGCTAGCGATGTTGAATCCCACACATTTAGTTTATTCGGGGATGGGAAAAAGTGAGCTGTTCATTTGCTCATTCACCCTGTAATCCTGTATTCATGCAGTCAATGCTAAAAGGTGCAACTAATTTGTCTGCATGACCAACTTTGCAAAAAATTCTGCTAAGACTTCACTGGTCTATGTGTTCCTCTGTTGATGATAGATGGGTGACAATCCTGAGGAATGCGATTCCTCTTTCACTCTGCACCTATGTGTATATAAGAGAACACAAAGCACTGGCTCAGGGAAAAACTATTGGTTCAGAATCAGAGTCCAGATACTAAAAGACTACTATCGCATCAATATCAGGCAGGATTGCGATGCCGGTGTGCTTTATTTGATGTCTGCAGCACAAGTGCAATGCCTCGTAGGGTCAGTATGTTTGCACTGCCTCTTGTCTCTTAATAAAATAATAATAATAATCCTTGCATTTGATATAGCGCTTTTCACATCGGGAGGACGTCCCAAAGCGCTTCACAGAACACACTGTAAAGTGAATTGACTGTATATTTGTGGGCGAACGCGGCAGCCAATTGCGCACAGCAATGTCCCACAAACAGTGGTAGATTGAAAATATTGAAAATATTATTGGTTTTGGAGGGATTATTATTAGGTGTGTGGAGTAAGGAAACTTGCCCAAGGGTTCGCCCTCTGCCCGGAATTGAACTCAGGTCTCTCGGAGTGCTCTAAACACTGAGCTACAGGACTCCACTTGTGGTTGCAATGCGGGCGGGCGTACATGGTTATGCACTGAGATGGTTCTCTGTGTTGTCAGATTGCAGCAGAAAGAGAGAAATTACAAGAAGAGGAAGAAAAGGAGTTGGCAAAATCAAAGCCGATTCAGCCCAAAAACGACGCTCCGAAAACCTACCGGCAAGGGATTGGGAAGTACATCAACATGGCAGCTACGTGAGTAGCATCTTACAGTGCAAAATGACATTTGTAAAGCGCTTTTCACGTTAGAGGGACGTCCCAAGACACTGGACAGATGGGTGAAATTGGGGGGATTGGGGTAAGGGCGCCAAAAGCGCGGTTGATGAGGAGGGTCTTGAAGGAGGCAAGGGAGTGGCCGAATCTGTAAGGAGATCGCTCTCCACCATCAAGGTTTGTGCTGGAAATTGTACGTCAGAGCTGCAGCCTGAGGCTGGCTCCCAAAGGTTTGAGGAGAGGAGTCAGGTAGTTCCCCAATGGTGCCATCACCTTACACTGCCATTTTCAAAACTTCTCAAAGTGATTCACAGGAATTTACTGTAAGGTGTATTTGTAGGTGAATATGGAAAACAATTTGCACAAAGCAACACCTCAAACAGGAATGAAATGAATGACTAGTTTTATGATAATAATAATCCTTGCCTTTGATATAACGCCTTATCACTTCATCGAGACATCTCAAAGTGCTTCACAGGATTTACTGTTAAGTGAATTGACTGTATATTTTGTGGGCGTAACAAATTCTCAATTTACTATACACTTCTCAATACAGAGAGTGACGCAGTCCCCCCCGTCCTCCCCGACACCCTCTGCCCTCACTGTTCATCGTTTTTGATACTCAGTTATTTAATCTACTTGTAAAAAGGTAAAAAGCAAAATGTTTTTACAAAACTGGCTCATACAAATCATCGAATCTACAGGCTCAGTGGCAGGATGGTCTTAACTGATTCCTGCTACACATACAGGTGCGAGTGCAGTTTAGTCCCTGTATATTGTTGTTGATTTGAGGGTGGTGATGTTCTCCCCGTTTGTCTCTAATTTCACATCCTCTCCGTTTCTGTGGTAGTAAGCGACCAGCAGCCAATCAGGACAGCAGCCCCTCCACCAGCAGCAGCGCCAGCAGCAGCGCCAATCCAAATGCCAACGCCAAGAAAATCAAAGGAGCAACTGGTTTTGGCAACTTCAGCTGCTGGTAGAACGTGTCCTAAGGAGCAGCAGCAAGAACAACTGCAGAAACCAGCTCCGCGGCTCGCAGGCCTCTCACAGCAGGGAGTCAGTCGCTTTTTATTCACAAGGAATTTTAAATAAGTGACTTTGCATTTTTCCGCTAAGTTAAAGATCTCTGTTGTGGCGAGGGGAGAGGGGGTCAATTGTATCTGTTAAACGTTAAAGCTTCCATTTCCAGTGTGAAGCACAAGACAGAATTTAACTGCGGTATTTTACTTTCATATTGACCTGAAGGCTCAAGGTTTCTCCCCTAATGGGTTTTCGTCTTGCTTTGTCTTGTGCTGCGGTTGTGTCTGCTCGACTGTGTCGATGAGATCAACCATCATTTCTCATTTTGAAAATACATTTTCCACAGTGGCTTAATTAAACTCCACTGATTCCTGTCTGTGATGATTCATCCCATTGTTTGATGCAGAATCCCATCGAGTTCAAGCTCTCTCGGCAGGAAGGTGCAGAACATTCTCCTGCGTTTGTTCCAGTGAAATAAGTAACTGCACGGTCAGCTCGGGACACGCTCATCCTGAAAACATCTTGTTTGTTGTTACAATCGACTTTGTGGGGAATTTGCAGAGAGCCTGACGTGCCCCAAACACGTCAATCTGTCTCTCGTGAGGTTTGCAACGCAGCCCTAGGTTACTGTAAAAAAACACTGTTGCAGTTGTTTGCTACTAACCAAAGGATTTGAACTCACTAACTGTTGCCCGACTCACTTTAACATGAACCATTTTGTTCGAGTAATTTTATTAACTTGCAAAGCCAGTTAGCCAGGCCTGGAGCCAGGCGCTGGTTAACCCCGGATGTCGGGTAAATCGAAGTAAACGCCCGGCCTCGATTCATGTGTATTCTTACCTGTTTTAAATATGGCGGTTACCCTGGACAAAATGCCGCGCTGGTCTCCACTGGCTGCACTAAGTCGGCCTTTCTGTGTCTCCATTCAGCCACGAGGGGCTCTAGGATGGAGATGGGAGGAGTCGAAGGTTGATTGACATCGGTCTCCAGCCATTCACAAACAGCTGGATTTGGGCTGTCAATCAGTGAGGGAAATTGTGATTGATTGACAGCTGAGATGCTTGTGAGTAGGTGGAGCCCAAACATTCATAAGCAACTCCGAGGCTGTCAGTCACCTCGGAGCCATCGCTAATTGGTCCTCTTCCCGTCCAGTGGGAGGAAGCCACTCCTCTGTTGGGCGGAGAAGTCCTGGACTGTGTTTTGCAGCCAAACGAAAAGGTAACTCTATTTCACTGAATTGTCTGAGAGTATTTTAACTTTAACCGGTTTAGTTAAATTGCTTCAAGTGAAACAATATTATTACGTATTATTATACGGCCCTGACACAGCTCCTCTACTGGGCGGGAAAGGTATTTCAGTTAACCTCGGACACCTCTTAAGTCGGACAAAATGTCCGTTCCTCTTATGCGTCCGGCTTAACTGGCTTCCACCATGTACATAAAAATATATGTTACTGTAATGTGATGGAGTGAAGGCTCATCCACAGCAGCAGCTACTGACCCTTTTGACAAACTGTGGTTTTAGCTGGTTAGACTCCAGCAGTTACTCCAAATCACGCTCTGGGGTCCCCAAGCCTTGGCCGTTGCCAATCCTCGCCTAATACTCTCTGGAATTAGGTAAACAGAATACATCCCTCCAGGGAGCGAGAGAGAGAGAGAGAGAGTGCATTCCATTCAAACAATCTTATCTCTGGGATTTCCAGGTGTAGTTGGGATGCATGGAATCCTCCATTTGGTTTGGATACACTTAAGCAGAGCGACGGGTTTCCGCCTGTGTCAGGCACCTGGTTGACCGAAACACTTTTGACAGGTGAGGAGGCAACGTGAGTTTGCCTAACCAAGCTATCTTGTTGCCATGGTAATGAGCCCTCATGTGCAGTGCCTCGGTCTCTCTCCCGCTGGTCGTTGCTCCCACTCGCTGGTCTCACAATGCTCGCTACAAGATATGGAAACTCCAGCTGTCACCTGACGAGCAGTCACTGCTCAATCATTATGACACAAATGTGTGTACAACATTACTGAGCAGCCTCCGTCAACCAGGACCTTCTGTTATTTGCATTGTTAACAATGTGTGATTATTCTGTTCACTAATCGGAATCTTTGAGGCTCACAATCATTCACTGACCAGAAATACAGCACGGACGGAGACGACTCTGTCAGGCAGTCAACTACTTGATGATTTATTTGAAATTGTAACAGCGGTAGCCTTGCAAACCATTCACGTTTTGTAACGTGCAGGTGTGATTATCTACGGATCAGATCCAGATGTACATTTTTCTCAGTCATTTTGAAAGAACCAAATGGACTTCAAGCTGAAGGTTGACGAGAGCGACTCCATGCTTCGGTCCACAATACTCACATTAGGGATGAGGAGCAGATCTACCTCATCGTGGGAGACATTTGCCTGATGTTGTGTTGAACTATTGTACTTTGAGCTCTTGTTGGGACCTGTGTTAGTTGTAGCCATGAGTCAAACTGATCAATAGATTCATTATTCTAAATATATATCACGGAAAGATCCACATCATCCGAACTGAGATCCCGCTGCGGGATATTGATCTGAATAGTGTAATGGAGATGGTTATTAGAAGACGTCATAAGAACATAAGAATTTGCTCCGCGAAAGAAGACCGAGGTCCATCTATCTCGCCTTCCACCATCCTGGCAGTCACTTGACGTATTGTTAATGTTAATGACATATCACTTGCAAATTAACCCTTTGAATGCCTTTCTTAGGACACCCATTCTGTACGTTCTCACACACTGATGCAAAATCATTTTCGCAGTGAAAGTTGTTCAGAATCATTTTTATTGTTACCCTGAGCTACTAGAATACCAGTCAAAAACATTTAAAGGTAACATTTGAAAAACAGTACTTGCATTTAACCTGTTCCATTACTCCTATTTTTTTTCTACTTTAGGTATAATATTTTTACCCAATGTTTCTGCTGTTAAAACCCATCACTTATGGTTCCTGCTTCCAAAGTCCATTTCAAAAGGTGCGAGAGTATCTCTTCTTAAAAAAAAATTTTCTCAGAATTGTCTCTTTTGCAACCAGTCACAGGTTATTAAAGGATCACAAATTTACATCATTTGCATCATAGAAATTCCCTTCAACCTGGAATTAAAGAATATGTTGAGACAAGAGACCGTGAACATGAAGCATGAAGGAAACTGTTTCACCTTGATGTACATTTAAATTGTTAGCAATCCTACAAGTTGTCAAATGCTCTGATTTTACAATCTGTATCGACTCTGCAGTAAGTAGGATTCGCTTCCAGATAAACCATTTCTTCATTTAGACTCCCATAATAATGAGTTGTTCAAAACAAGGCTGAGGAGTGAAGTGTAAATATATTTGTTTAATTCCTAGATTTAACAGTAATCAGAATGATTTACTTTAGTAACAGGCCTGTTGCTTTCCTGATTGGCCTTGTTTTTGTATTTGACAAAACATGATGTGTCTGAGCTTTGTCTTCTCTCTGATCTATCCGAAGGGCACCTCTGACTAATGCAAGAAGAGGCTTAAATAAAATTTATGATAAAATGAAATTTCCTCTTTGACATTCTTACTGACTAATGGATCTCTTTCATTGCAATGCCTGAATCACTTTACAGACACAGGTTAGAAGGTTACCTTCTGCTTACGCTTGTTTTGATAGAAAGTGATGTTTATTCTGTTTAAAAAAAAGTGACCCCATAGATTTAATATTGAAACCCTTGTCATTCCATTTCACCTGCACAACGCTACAACTATCAATCGGCACCACTTTCCACTGAGTGCGAATTCAGGCCATTAATGTACATAAGGAACAGTTTGTCTCAGTGCAATCTTTTGAGGCACCTCACTAAATACCCCCTCACAGCAATCCTCTACTTACTACCCTTGAGCCATTTTCACATCCACATCTCATGTAGCTCAGTGGTTAAAGCACTCGCCTCGCAAGCGAGAGACCTGGGTTCGATTTCCAGGCAGGGTGAAACCTTGGGCAAGTTTCTTTACTCCACGCGCCTCTGTTTATCTAGCAGTAATAATAATCCTTGCATTTGATATAGCACTTTTCACGTCTTCTTGACGTCTCAAAGCACTTCACAGAATAGACTAAAGTGAATTGACTATATTCGTGGGCGAAACGCAGCAGCCAATTGCGCACAGCAGCGTCCCACAAACAGTCGTGAACTGAAAATTACCAATTTATTATTGTTTAGTTTTTGGAAGGATTATTATTAGGCGTGTGGAGTAAGGAAACTTCCCCAAGGTTTCGCCCTGCCTGGAATTGAACACAGGTTAAAGTTATTGAGTTTCTGCCAATACATTGGACATAGTAAATGCCAAGGTGACAAATGACAATCTGTTCATCTGTAACTAGGGCTCCCTCTGCCTCCTCATCCCCCTCGACCTCTCTACTACCTTTGACACTGTGGACCACTCTATCCTCCTCCACCGCCTCTCCTCACACCTGAACCTTCAAGGTTCTGTCCTTGAATGGTTCAGATCCTATCTCTCACACCGGTTCCACTTTGTCTCTGAAAGCATCACTTTCTTTCCACTACAATCCTCTGGCCTGTTGACCTGATGCTACTGACACACTGAGATACTGACCCACAGTCCCTGACAGCAAGCCCAAGTGGCCTGTTTAGACAAGGCAGCAATTGGGAAAAGAGAATGCAATCTCTTCCCCACTCCTCCCCACCGCTCACTCACTCACTCACTCACTCCCTCCATCACTGGTTGTAGGACACTGCTGTGCGCTCTCTCTCTCTCTTCCCCCCCCCCCACCAACCCCCCGGAGGGACGCATCTGCTTATCTAATTCCAGAGAGTATTAGGCGTAATTTGGCGAGAGCCCAAAGTGTGAGTACGGGTAACTGCTGGAGTCTTATCCAGGTCATACAAAACTCTGCCACCCTCATTCTTACCCGCACCAAACTCCGCTCCCTGATTACCCCAGTCCTGGCCAGACTGCACTGGCTCCCTGTCCCAGAGAGCATCAACTTCAAGATTCTCACTCTTGTCTTCAAATCCCTCCACTCCTCTGCAACCCCCCGACCTCTCTCCTCAAAACAGTGCCCATTGCCTTAGTTCCTTCGGGTCTGGCCTCCTCCTTGTCCCCCGAGTCCTCCGCTCCACCCTTGGCGGCCGTGCCTTCAGCCACTATGCCCCGAGGCTCTGGAACTCCCTTCCTCACTCCCCTCGCCTCACCTCCTCTCTTCCTACTTTCAGGTCTCGACTTTCTTTTCGATCGCGCCTTTGGTCACCTTACCCCCCCCTCCCACTCGCTCAGGCCCGGGATCCGTTACTAGTAAGTAGGAACCCGGTTGTTAGTTGATTGGTTGATCACTTTTCCGGTGTCAGGTGTCTCAAATCTTACCCTTGACACCCAGTATTATCTGTTTGTGAAGGTTCTTTGTCAAATGTCCCTTCCTCAGCCTTTTGCAGGTTACATTTTGTTTAGGTACATTACGTCACATGGCTGCCCACAGTGAGGTCCACTCGGGAGCTAGCCAGGCAAAATGGGAAGAATGATCTGTCCTGTGCAGAAATGCCTATGATTCTGTCCTATACAAAGTCCCAGTGTGACATCATAGATAAATTACACTGCTTTAAAATAAACTTTGGACAATCAATTGCTGCTAAGATGCAGCTTGATTAACCTTACTGCTAATTGACTGACCGATCAATAGTCACACCCAAATCTTTTTGTTTTCAATTTGTTGTTCACTGATGCCCATCCTTTGAGGCCATGTTTCATCTTGCGTGTGTATGTGCACATTACCTTTCTTTGCCCTTCATGTACCTTAGGGCAGGCCCTTGAAGAACATCACTGAAAGACCCTCCTGAAGATTTTAAATGCCTTTCTATTAATCCTTGCATTAGAAAAAGTGCCTTTCAGGTCAGGAGGACATTTCAAAGTGTTTCACGGACTTTTGCTGTAAAGAGTAGTGACTGTTGTAGGGGAATGTGGCTGCAATTTGCACACAGTGGTGGGCCACAACAGCAGGTGAGTGACTAATTTTAGTTGGAGATTGTTGGCCAGGAAACCTGGAAGAACTCGGATTTCTTTTGAATAATGGCAGGGGATCTTTAATGTCCACCTGAACAGGAAGACGACCTGGTCTGAAGGACGGCATTTCCAAAGAACCAGCACATCCAGCACGAGGGGCAGTCTGGACTGTGAGCTCAAAGTTCCGACATGGGGTTTGAATCTACAAACCTTCTGCCTCAGTGCTAACAACCGAGCCAGGCTGACACTGAAAAACATCCGATTTGCATAGAGATTCCACCCAGAAGAAGCTCTCGTTTAGTTCTCTCAGCATAGAGAGCTGTCAGTATACAGTATCTGCATTAGAATCTGCCAACACCAACCATTTGAAGTTCCCACATCTTAATTAAACAGTATTTTGGCATCAAATCATAAGTAGCTTTTGTTTTAGTTAAGGTCGAACACTGTTGCAAGCGTGTCCTGGATTATATATCTCCGGGGGCTTTCTCAGCAATAAATATTTTAAATGCCTTTTTCTACCTTTAGTTGAAAAATAGCTTTGAGCAGCATGAAGCTTGCCTCTGGCCCTCAGAAAAAGATTGAAGTGGTCGAATGCAATTCATGAAGACAGTATGACTTTGACCAGTGTACTTCTTTTACCAGGGGGTTATCTTTAGAACTGTCTGTAGTCCAATCCCTATCCCAACCCCCTCTGCCAACCCTGCAGCCTTTCTGCAATTCCTGTGTCTCTCTCCTCTGTCTGTCTTCAAGAGCTGACTGAATTCCTAGCTCTTTGATCATGCCTATGGTTATCGCCACTGCATCAATTGTGTAGGTTCAAACCCCATGTCGTGACAGCACTCCTGCCTCTGAGACAGAAGGTTGTTGGGTTCAAGCCTCACATCGAGACATGGAATCACATAGTCTATGTCAGTGTTGCATTGGAGTGCTAACTCTACTGACACTCCAATGCAACACTGGGTGTTGCACTGTTGGAGGTGCTATCCTTTGGATGAGATGTTACAGGAGTCTTGTAGCTCAGTGGTTAGAGCACTCGCTTTGCAAGTGAGAGACCTGAGTTCAATTCCAGGCAGAGGGCGAAACCTTGGGCAAGTTTCCTTACTCCACACAGAGCCTAATAATAATCCCTCCAAAACCAAAAACAATAATAAATTGGTCATTTTCAATCTACGACTGTTTGTGGGACATTGCTGTGCGCAATTGGCTGCCGCGTTCGCCCACAAATATACAGTCAATTCACTTTACAGTGTGTTCTGTGAAGCGCTTTGGGACGTCCTCCTGACGTGAAAAGCGCTATATCAAATGCAAGGATTATTATTATTAAACCGAGGTCCCGTCTGTCCTTTCAGGTGAATGTTAAGATCCCATGGAACTATTCGAAAAGAGAAGTGAGTTTCCCCCAGTGTCCTGGCCAACAAATCCCCCCCGAATAAAAATTGGTCACTCACTCCATGACTGTTTTTTGTGAACCTACTGTGTGCAAACTAGCTGCCGCATTTCTCCCATAAAATATACAGGCACTTATATTTTGTATATATACTGTAATGTGAATTGACTGTGTATTTGTGGGCAAAACGGTTTACAACATCCTGTAAACTGTGAGTTAAATTCCACTTCCAAGATGGACGGAATGATAATTTCTGATTTACCTCGGCCATCACTTGTGGGACTGAATTCCAATTTCAGGATTGCCCTGATATATTACTCTGTGAACAAACTGGCAGATTTCAACAACAACAACAAAATTACATTTGTAAACTGCCTTTCACGTCAGGAGGACGTCCCAAGGCCATGAACAGTCGGGGATCAGGACTCGAGTGTGGGGGGGGGCGGGCAGGGTTGGGATGAGGGAGGGCAGAAAGGATAGGAGGGTGGCTGAAGGCACTGTTGAAAGGAGGGTCTTGAGTCGTGCCTTGAAGGAGGCAAGAGAGGGAGCAAGTTGAAGGGATTGTGAGATGGAGTTCCAAAGAGTGGGGGCAGAGAGGCTGAAAGCCTGGCCACCGATGGCAAGGCAGGTCGAGCGGGAGATATGGAGCAGGCTGGAGCCGTTGAACGGAGGGAGTGGACAGGTTGATAGGGGGTTCACAGATCAGAGAGGTAGGAGGGGCCAAGGCCGTGGAGGGCATTGAAAGTTAGGACAAGGATTTTGAATTCTATCCTCTGAGGGATGGGGAGCCAGTGGAGCTGGGCGAGGGTGGGGGTGATGGGGTCACGGAGCCTGATGAGGGAGAGGACACGAGCTGCAGAGTTCTGGATGACCTGCAGCTTGTGGAGGGAAGAGTTGGGGAGGCCGACAAGGAGGGAGTTTTTATAGTCGAGCCTTGAGATGACGAATGTGTGTATGAGGGATTCAGGGCCCGAGGGGTGAGGCAGAGTCGGGCAACGTTGCGGAGATGGAGGAAGGCAGAGCAGGTGAAGACATGGATATAGGGCAGAAAGGACAGTTGAAGGTCGAACAAGACGCCCAGGATCCTGACTGGCTTGGTGAGGCGGAGTGTGCATCCGTGGCTGCAGATGAGTGAGGTAGAGGCCTGAACTTATCCAATGT